AGAATTGGAAGGGAGGAGAGGGGGAAGAAGGAGGTAGAGCGGAGGCCATTATAAATACCACCTTGGCCTGCCCGCTCCCTCCCAGCGCTGCCTCATAGAGACTTACCAATAGCTTGGCTTGAGAGGGGATTGAGATCATCCCTCTTGGAGTTTGAGATCGTCCCTCTTGGAGTTGTCTCGGAGCCGGGCTGCGGTCGGCTGCGGTGAGCGTCGGGACCCTATTTGTGTGCAGGCCTAGCCCGAAGGACGAAGCAGCGGACTCAATTTGATCAGCCACCGGTCGTGGCGGCGTGGGCGTGGTCTGGCGCGCCGTGAGCTGCGGAAGTTAGGGAGCCGGTGGGCCTCCTTCCAACTAACACCTACTAACACCATCGATAGCGCACCGTGACCTGTCAGGAGCGCCGTTCGGCTCTGTCGGAGCGCCGGTCGGCTTTGCCGCCCGGTTGCTCTGCGTTGGGAACCACTACCACCGCCTCCGCGTTCCATCTGGGCGGAGGCCTAGGAAGCCTGGGAGCGCTGCCGACTGCCCCCCCCGGCCGATGAACTTATTCCAACATCTTGCCGCGGCCTGGGCAAACCAGCTGGACGCTCCGTGCACCCATTACTATCGGGTGAGTTAGGCTGAGGGCTGACTTGGGAAAGATCTATCCATCTGGAGCCCAGCCGGGTGGTAGCTCCTCCAGAACTCTAGGAGGCGCTGCCCCTGCGACGCAACTCTTCGAGAACCTCCCCGCAATTCCATCGTGGGTGGAGGCCCCCCAGTATTTTTGCTGTGTTATAGCTGCTATTATTTACCAACGACTGTCGCCGTGAGCTGTTACCATCATTACCATCTTCATCCGCCGCTAGTCCGGAAGAAAATGAATTGAACATCAAATTACCATCTTAATATCAGATTGTTGAACTACTGGAGTCATCTCACCTAACTTTCCTTGTTGGGATTATAATTGCCATCAGTGGGGGATTTATACCTTTACCCCTTGACCCTCCCGCTCCAAGTCTGTTGTACTGGGGGGGGGGCAATAGAAGGACTATATTTAGTAACGAACTGAGGACCGTATCGCTGTTGTATTGTCATCATAAGAACCGAGCCGTTCCTACCCAATGCTACTAGTCCTCAATCCTATTGCACTTATCCATCCAATTGCACTTAGTTAGTGAGCTAGTGAATATCGCACTTTAGAATTGCGCACTTTAAATCTTTGAAATCCTGTGCACTTTAAAATCTCGTGCACTTTAAACTTTGTGCACTTTGACCCTCCTGTGATACTATACTACCTCATTCCTCCAAGAGATTATTAAATTGAGGAGGTTAGCAACAGCACTTTAGAACCCGCATTTTATGACCTGCTTTTTACTGTTTCTGTAAACACCCATGTCTACCCTCATTCTGTGGTATTTGCTAATAACATTGCTAGCAAATAGAGAAGGGGAAGGAGGGTGGAACGGGTGGGAAGGCCTCAGGAAGAGCTATGCAAGGTCAGGGAACAACTGGAATGAACTGAAGGAATTAACGAAGGAAAGAAGTTGGAGGGAACCATGGGATGAGGTTGCAACGTCGAAGTGCAATATGGATGGAGAGGGGCATTCCATTGGTCGAGGGGCCCCCATAGAAACCTTAACGGGGAGGGGGAGATGCGGGAAAGGGAGACCATTAATTCGACCATTAATTCGGCCCCAAAATGGTAGAGAACTACCACCCCAAAATCGGTTTAGAAACAAAAAAAAAAGAAACCACAAAAATTTAATAATATGTAACCGGTCTCCTGACAAGGCAAGTGGGTGTACCCAGGCTGGCAGCCCCCCCGGGTTAAAGATGGTGCTGTTGAACGCCAGATCTGTCAACGGTAAAACATCTTTTATCCAAGATCTAATTCTGGAGGAACGGGCAGATCTGGCGTGCATTACGGAGACCTGGTTGGACGAAGCTGGAGGAGTAAATTTAACCCAGCTTTGCCCACCAGGCTTCTCCGTACAGCACCAGTCTAGACCCGGGGGGCGGGGAGGCGGGGTGGCAGTAGTCTATAAGAATTCCATCTCGCTGACCAGAGGCCCCATCCCACAGTCAACTAATTTTGAATGTGTCTACCTGAGGGTGGGCGACCGGGACAGAATAGGGATTCTGTTAGTGTACCGCCCACCTCGCTGCACTACAGTCTCCCTACCTGAGCTAGCAGGGGTTGTCTCGAGCCTGTCATTGGAGTCCCAACGGCTTCTTGTGCTGGGGGACTTCAATGTACACGCCGAGACAGCCTTAGTGGGAGCGGCTCAGGACTTCATGTCTTCCATGGCAACCATGGGGCTGTCCCAACAAGTAACTGGCCCCACCCACAGTGCCGGACACACACTAGATTTGGTTTTCTGTCAGGGATGGGAGCAAGGTGGCGGGGTTGAGGAGTTATCCATCTCTCCGTTGCCATGGACCGACCACCATCTGGTTAGTTTTAGACTTACTGCACCTCCGAACCTCTGCAGAGGTGGGGGACCCATTAAGTTGGTCCGCCCCAGGAGACTTATGGATCCTGATGGATTCCTGATGGCTCTTGGGGAGTTTCCTGCCGCCTCGGTTGGTGATCCTGTTGATGCCTTGGTGGCTCTCTGGAATGGGGAGATGACCAGGGCAATAGACACGATCGCTCCGGAACGTCCCCTCTCAAGTAGCCGAGCTAAACCAGCTCCTTGGTTCACCGAGGAGCTGGCAGCAATGAAGCGAAAAAAGAGGAGACTAGAGCGTGTGTGGCGTTCGGATCCGAGCGAGTCAAACCGAGCACGGTTTGTTGCCCTTCTAAGGGCATATGCCGTGGCAATAAAGGCAGCAAAGAAATCTTTCTTTGCGGCCAATATTGCGTCCGCTAAGAACCGTCCGGCGGAGCTGTTCGAGTTGTCAGAGGCCTATTGAAACCCACCATTCCGGATGGGAGCCCTGACAACTCGTCGGCCCGCTGTGAAGCATTTGCTCGGTTCTTTGCGGACAAAGTCGCTTTGATCCGTTCAGGCCTGGACACAACGTTAACGGCAGTCTCTGAGGATGTGACGAGAACACCTGTCTGTCCGAGTTTGTTGGATTCGTTTCAATCTGTGACACCTGAGGATGTGGACAAGGTGCTGGGAGGGATGAGGGCAACCACATGCATCCTAGACCCCTGCCCATCCTGGCTTCTAAAGGAGGCCAGAGGGGGATTGGCCGAGTGGGTAAAGGTGGTGGTTAATGCCTCCCTTCGGGAAGGCATAATTCCAGCCAGCTTAAAACAAGCTGTTATAAAACCGCTGTTGAAAAAACCATCACTGGACCCCACTCAATTCGTCAACTATCGGCCTGTTTCCAATCTCCCCTTTTTGGGCAAAGTCCTGGAACGTGTGGTGGCCTCACAACTCCAAGCATTCTTGGTAGACACTGATTATCTGGATCCGGCGCAGTCTGGCTTTAGGCCGGGGCATGGTACCGAGACAGCCTTGGTCGCCTAGTCGATGATCTCCGGCGTGAGCTTGACAGGGGGAGTGTGTCCCTGTTGGTTCTGCTGGACCTCTCAGCGGCCTTCGATACCGTCGACCACGGTATCCTTCTGGGGCGCCTCGTGGGAATGGGCCTGGGGGGCGCTGCTTTGCAGTGGCTCCGGTCCTTCCTAGAGGATCGTACCCAGAAGGTGTTACTGGGGGACAACTGCTCGTCCTCACAACCATTGACTTGTGGGGTCCCGCAGGGTTCAATACTGTCCCCCATGTTGTTTAACATCTACATGAAGCCGTTGGGAGAGATCATCCGGAGTTTCGGGTGCGGTGTTATCTGTAAGCAGATGATGTCCAACTCTGTCACTCCTTTCCACCTACTACTAAGGAGGCTGTCCTGGTCCTGAACCGGTGCTTGGCCGCTGTGTCGGACTGGATGAGGGCGAACAAATTGAAACTCAATCCAGACAAGACAGAGGTACTCCTGGTCAGTCGGAAGGCCGAACAGGGTATAGGGTTACAGCCTGTGCTAGACGGGGTCGCACTCCCCCTAAAGGCACAGGTTCGCAGCTTGGGTGTGACTCTGGATTCTTCGCTAAGCTTGGAGCCCCAAGTTTCGGCGGTGTCCAGAGGAGCATTTGCACAGCTTCGGCTCGTGCGCCAGTTGCGCCCGTATCTTGGGAAGTCGGACTTGGCCACGGTAGTCCACGCTCTTGTCACATCCCGTATAGATTACTGCAACGCGCTCTACGTGGGGTTGCCCGTGAAGACTGCCCGGAAGCTTCAGATGGTCCAGCGCTCGGCAGCCAGGTTGCTAACGGGAGCGGCACTCAGGGAGCACACCACTCCTCTGTTGAGCCAGCTCCACTGGCTGCCAATTTGCTACCGGGCACAATTCAAGGTGCTGGCTTTAGCCTATAAAGCCCTACACGGTTCCGGCCCCACTTACCTCTCCGAACGCATCTCCACCTATGAACCAGCTAGGGTGTTAAGATCGTCTGGGGAGGCCCTGCTCTCGGTCCCGCCTGCGTCACTAGTACGTTTGGCGGGGACGAGGGACAGGGCCTTCTCAGTGGTGGCCCCTCGGCTGTGGAATGCCCTACCAGCGGACATCAGGCAGGCCCCTTCGCTATTGGCGTTTAGGAGGAGGGTTAAGACGTGGCTCTTCGAACAGGCGTTCGGATAAATATGCAATTAACAACTGACTCAGGAATGACGGCACATTGAACAAGGAATGGTAATACGACTGTGAGATCGAGATCTGATTCTAATGAGGCGTGATGATTTTTATGTGTATTGTTTGTGTATGTTTGTTATATAGATTGTTCAGTGTTGCACATTTTATTGTAAACCGCTTCGAGTCGCCTTTTTAGGCTGATATTTGCGGTATACAAAAGAAGTAAATAAATAAATAAATAAATAAATATTACAAATGCCTATTAAATAAATTGCAGTTTGTTCTTGGCAGATGTTGGTACGGTATATAGAAACACTATATCAAAAGTAGCTTTTCTTTTCTGATAGGTGATTATAACTTATTTTCTCAATTTCAGGGTTGCCAGGAGTGTAGATAAGAACATTTACATTGTACAAGGTGAAATCAATACAGTGGTGGGAGCCATAAAGCGCAGTGCGAGATGGAGTACTCATACACACTTGGTAAGTTATTTTAGAAAGCTGCATCCTAATAAATGCATACCCCAAAATTTAACTAATTATTACATGATAGCATAGGCGAGCTTGACTTTTATGCAAATTTATGCAAATATGACTGATAAAATGTGTAATATACAGTATAGTAGACTGAGCATTGAATTTGGGAATATGACTAAATGACTAGTTATTATGAATATATTGCTGAATTAATTAAATGAATTACATTGCTATCTCACCTCTTCCTTAAAGGGCTCAGGTTGTCATTATGCAGTTTTCCTCCCACATATTTTGGTCCTTGCAAAGACACTGGGTTGAAAAGAAGACAAGACTTGCCTGAACTCATCCAGAGAGCTTAATTGTTCAGTGGAGATATCTTAGTTCATATCTTAACCATTGCACTTTACTACCTGATTCATTTATTGAACTGAGAATCAATCTGGTGTAGTTGTTGGAATTTTTAAATTAGGAAAGATGCAGGTTTAAATTTTCACTCAGTGAACAAGGTAGAAATCTCTTATGAGTCTACCCTGCTGTACAGGATTATTGTGAGTGTAAAAATGTATGCATGTGTAAATGATTCTGAACATTGTGATGGGTTTAAAAAGAAATTTTGGGGAAGGAAATACATATCTTTCTAATACTTTATTCCTATACATACTTTAATTAATTGGAAATCCAACTTAGGGTTACTTTTAAGTAAATATATGTGTGTGTGCCATATTGTAATCTTGCCTTGCTTTTGTACTCTGGTGAACGGAAATGCTTAAAATTAGAGTCATAAAATGAGAAAAGCTGATATGAGACTTACTTATAGACAAAGTCTTGCTGAGGAACACTGGTTTCCAAAGTAATATCGGAAATGGAAAACTACAGAAGATGTGCAAGTGCATATTAGAATAACTAAGCAATGAAAATGGAGAGTTGTATCAAATTTAGAATAAAAGTAATTTGCTATTGGACAATAAGCTAAAATTATAACTAGAAAAATTATTTTAAAAAGAATGATATGTGTTAGTAGTACAGTTTGAGTATCCATTATCCAGAATACTACAGAATTGTCCATGTGGGTGGCTGAGATAGTGACAGCTTAGTGCAGGAGTCCACAAACTTTTTAAACAGAGGGCCAGGTCACAGTCCCTCAAACTGTTGGAGGGCCGGATTATAATTTGAAAAAAAAAATGAATGAATTCCTATGCACACTACACATATCTTATACACAGTATAATAATTAAAATGAAGAGCAATGTTAACAAATATAAACTTATTAGTATTTCAATGGGAAGTGTGGGCCTGCTTTTGGCTGATGAGATAGGATTGTTGTTGTTGTTGTTGTGGTGTGCTTTCACGTCATTTCAGACTTAAGTTGACCCTGAGTGAGGGCCGGGTAAATGACCTTGGAGGGCTGTATCCGGCCCCCAGGCCTTAGTTTGAGGACCCCTGGCTTAGTGTATATGAATGTTTCCATGCACAAGTTTATTAAAAATATTTACATCAAATTACTTTCAAACTGTGTTTAAGGTATATATGAAACAAATGAATTTAGTGTTTAGAATGAGATCTCATGTCCAAAATATTTCATTATGTAGATGCAAGTATTCCAGAATTTAAAAAAAATCAAAATGTGGACCACTTCTGGTCCATATTTTGGTCCAAGCATTTGGATCAGGAATAGTGAACCTGGTCAGAGAGACTTTCAAAACACATTTTCTATTATGAATAGGAATTCCAGGAAAGTAGATGGGAAGAACCCGCTGTTAACTTAGGGAAGTATTTGTAAAATTGGATTAAACACCTTAATAGAAAAAAAGTAGAATATTTGCCTAATTCAGGTTAACTTTTTTGTGGACTGTTATAGCTATAAACCTCAATTGTGCGCAGCCAAGTGGCTGCTGCTGATCTGTGAAACATGTATTATGCCTTAGAATGAAGTCACAATTTCCCCCTGCTTTGATGTCTTTTGAGTGATTGCACAGTACTCAAAAATTCTCCATATTGAGAGAAAGGCAGTCTATAAATTGAAAAAAAAATAGAAAAAAGGAAATTTTATTATTTTTTTCTTTATTGAAAAAAAGTGAAAAGCAGCATTGTCATATCTTATTTGGTGGCTATTTCTAAATGATATCCTGGAAGGGCTTATTGAAAAATACATAATACAAACTTTGATCTGAATCTCTGGCTTGGTCCCTGTAATACTTTTCTTCCCATATGTTTAGGATGAAGAAAGAGATCCCCTGCTGCACAGCTTCAGTGTTTTGAAAGAAGTGTTGAATAACATAACTGGTAAGCCTTAAAATTAGTTTTGCGTGTCTCGAGTAATATCACATTGCATTTATTTTATAAATTTGACTGTATGTTAGACCTATAAAAATGAATGAGTGCCTACATACACAGGCACTCATTCCCTAAAATATAGTGGTATAATGATGTTATTGGGAAAACAACACTAGATTCATAATTGGGGCCCAGATTCAGTGAAATTTATTTAGTTCAGTTACACATAAACTCAAATAAAACATGTTTGATCAAAAGGAAAACAAAATGGTCAGGCAATACCTTTAGTATGGTCATAAACATAATTGTACATGGACTATCGAGACCTGCAGGTGTTTTTTTCAAGCAAAACATCATAAAAAGATTGGGGTTGAAAGAAGAAGTTTGATACTGGTCAGTTTGCATTATCAGAGCCTTAAGAAAATGGAAATGCAGAGAATTTCTTTTGAGATGAACAACTTTATGGCATCCTGTATGGCATCACTAAATGAAAGAAAAGGCAAACAGGTGTGATTATAATCAAGAGAAAAAAGGAGGGAAACAAGAGGAGGGGCTTTGGTTGGGTGAATGAGGAATCCGTTTTTAAAAAATGCATGCTGTCATTTTCTTCCCCCCAAACTTGAGACAGGAATCTGCAGGGAAGGGGAGAGGAAATGGATGGATGGCATTTTGAAATCTTGCAATTAAGTATTTCATGCATTTATTTATTTATTTATGACATTTATATGCTGCCCTTCTCATTCAGAGCGGCTTACAAGTAATATACAATACAATAAATAAAATAAATACAATATCTTCCTGGACCCCTCTTTAATCTGGTCCCAGAGTAGTAGTTGGTGTTGGGGAGGGGCTCCCAACTGATGACCCTGAAGACAAGATGGCACTGTCTTCTTTGCCCCCTCTTTACTTCTCAGTCCAACTGAATCCAACTCAGTAACTGAATTAGATTTATTAGCTTATAAACTGGTTACAGTAACTCTACCAACTTTTCCATCTCTGGTTCCTGCATACATAAGTGTATTCAACTGAGTGTGCTTAAAAAATCTCAGCTTGTTGCTGAATGTACAGTTCTGAATGCTGTATGCATTGGCGTTATGGGATGGGATGCCACACTTATACAGATGGAAAATTAAAATCGAGAATACAAGATCCTTTAAACTTTTGTTAAGTAAAGATTAAGTCCAGTCAGGTTCAACTCTGGGGGGTGGTGCTCACCTCCATTTCTAAGCCAAAGAACTGGTGTTGTCTGTAGACATCTCCTGGGTCATGTAGCCAGCATGGAGCGCAGTTACCTTCCCTCTGGAGCAGTACCTATTGCTGTACTCACATTGACATGTTTTTGAACTGCTAGTTTGGCAGAAGCTGGGGCTAACAATGGGAGCTCACCCTGCTCCTTGAATTCAGACCTTTTGGTCAGCAAGTTCCGCAGCTCAGCGGTTTAACCCACTGCGCCATTGCAGCCCCATGTAATAAAAACTTTTGTTACATAGCTTGAAAAAATGCTTAAATGTAATTAACTTCTCTTGTACAAAATATTTTTTGCCCCAAATCCTTTTGTGGACCCTAGTCTCCAAAAATGATACATTCTTGTCTTTGTCTAATGTTTCAATAAAGAAATTCAGCAAAACCCCCAAATATTATAGTAGCTAAATGTGAAAACAGGCTCAGCTGCTCCTCAAAGAATTAATTTAAAAAAAAAACAGTGGGAATTTTTAGGTTATCTTTTTCCCCAGCATGATAATGAGAGTGTATCTAACTAAGCCGGTGCAACAGTCAGGAAACTAGAAGAATTAAACCTGGAATTTGCCATGATTATAAGTATCTTATATAATGTAGTGTAGAAGTACCCTCTACTTCAGTGGTTCTCAACCTGTGTGTCCCCAGATGTTTTGGCCTACAACTCCCAGAAATCCCAGCCAGTTTACCAGCTGTCAGGATTTCTAGAAATTGAATCCCAAAACCTCTGGGGACCCACAGGTTGAGAGCCATGCTCTACTTCCTTTGGCTTGTTTGTGCTTCAGCTATTGTGAGCACAATCTTGTTCTCCACCCATGTATATAGTTTGCTAAACTTCCCTATAACAACAACAATTTTGTTTCATACCCACCTCTCTTCATGGCTAGACATAGTTAAAACACTTTATCATAAAACATTATGTATATACATACATTAGACACTAAAATCAGATGGGGAGGCCCTGCTCTCGGTCCCGTCTGCATCACAGGCGTGCTTGGCAGGGACGAGAGACAGGACCTTCTCAGTGGTGGCCCCTCGGCTGTGGAGCGCCCTGCCTGCAGATATCAGATTGGCCCCCTCCCTGCTGGCGTTTCGGAGGAAAGTGAAGACCTGGCTGTTCGAACAAGCATTTGATTAAACAGTGTAATTGAACATAGGAATACGGAATAATGGATGGCGAGACTGGATTCTGATTATACTGTTGAGGCGGTAATGATTGTTATACTGATGTTAATGATTTATGTGATAATTATTTTTAATTGCCCTATACTTGTTTTGTGATATTTTATACTGATGTTGTTCACCGCTTTGAGTAGCCTGAGGGCTGAGAAAAGCGGTATAGAAATAAAGTAAATAAATAAATGTATTTCTGTGAAATATATTAAAATAAACAGAACAAATATAATGCAGTAAACACAATACATATGTTTAAAATACATAGTTAAAAATTGACTGGATAGACCTTCGGGAGGCATGAAGAAGAAAAGGCTGTCTACCTATAACTGTGGTTCATCTGTGAACTCACATAATCCACTGTTTCCCCCTCTATTGGTTACTGGCTGCTATGGCAGGCATGGAATTGTGTTTCACAGACTTTGGAAATACTTTTATTGTGTCTCTAGATTTTTTTGTCCCTAATTTGTGATATTTTTTGCCTTACAAAATTCTTCAGATACTCTAAGAATGGCTCCTCAAAGCTAGAATTAGAAATCAGATATAGGGTTGTGTTTAAAAGAAAGGTTTTTTTTTTATTAGCATAGTATGCTATTTCTTAAAACTGTTATCGATTACAAACTTTGGTTTTCATCAGAGGATTTTCTACAGAAACCGTTTTAATATCTCAACTCCAAATCCTTGGGCCCATTGGGATGCAATCTTTCCATCTTTCTACATTGCACTACATTGCACTCATCCCATTGACTTCTGTACATCATTAAACTGGTGTTTCTATGAAAAGATAATAGATATGGACAACTAACATAGGAAAACAGATTTAAATGTTATACTTCAAAGCAATTTAGGGCAAGATAATTACTAATAATCAACAAATGGATTGTTATTAGTGTTTCACCTGGCTACCTTGCTACAGAGTTAACCAAGAGATACCTATGGCATTGAGATAGACAGATAAGTTCAGTATTGTGAACATATGAAGATAGGCAGTTGTTTTGGAGCTGGAGTCAGTTATTACCTAATTGCTAGGCTTAGCAGGGATTTCAAGCTGGACACTAGAGAAGGAACTGAGAAAGCTTGTAGGAAAGGAAGAAAAAGGAAAAAGAATAGCTGGAAAGAAAGAACTATGCATCCTGCTGTTCTTTTCTGGTTGCTCTTAGTCTACTAAATTTATTATTTTTTATTTGTTATGTCTCACTTTATATCTTCTCAGAACATCATACAAATACAATTAGAGAGTTTAAAACAATCAGAATGTAAAACATAAAATAAATTAGGATAAAAACAGTGAAACTTTTAAAAGAACAAAGAGAATATTTGGAATGGTAATAGTTTTTAAAATTATATTGTGCTAAGTGTGTTTTACAGTCTGATCTGTGTGAGCTTAAAAGTAAGCACTTTGTATTCAGTGCAATTTATTCTCACAGTAGCTGTCCAAAAACAAACCAACAAAAACCCAAAACAACTGCAATCATGGAAGAATATGTTACTACAGATGCAAAACTGTCTCTATGACATATTTGTGTCTTATGCAGTAATAAGTCACATAAACTTTGGAGAAAATCTAGATGTTTCATTTAGGAATGTCATCTTGGGTATTCAACCATGATGGTTTTATGGAAAAATACAAAGTAAAAGGACATAATTAAAAGGAACAGAGCTGTTTAAATTCCACAGTTAACTTTTCTTAAATCATATTGGAAAAGAGCCTCACAGCTTCAGTGCTTTTTGTGTGTGTGTTAATGGTGTCATATAGCAATAATGAACATCTTCTCAAGATAATGTTGGAAACAGGACAGCACTGATTCCATGTGCAATAGTTGTGCACCTTGCTTGATGGTGTCCAGTACTGTTTTCAGAAACTTCTGCATTAAAGAAGCAAAGTTACAGTGTTCGGTTCTTGAACGGATTTAACTTGAGCATTTCTTCATTAAGTTATGGATGAAGTAGCGTTTATATTCAAATTTATTCAAGCAGTAATCTTTGACATTTGAGTTAGCTTTTAGAACAGTTTTGCATTTATAGTAATATATATTCTGTATTTCCTCAGTCCCTGCTGAATTTGTTTTAATCTGTTCTGGATGCAAATTTCCAACTGCCTTGTCTCACTTCTCCTCTTGCTCCTCTTTCCTTCTCCCTCCTGTGGACTATGTTTGATCAGGTGTGGCAGGAATATCCTTTCTCAAGCTGCGCCCTTTATATTAGTCAATATTACCATTCTCTCCCTCCCATTCTCTTCCATCTCCTCTGAGCTTTATCAGTTGACTTATAATTTTGGAATTCTCATTGGAGTCTGTAATACAGTTTGTTCATTATTTAAACAAAATCTGTTTAATGAGCAGAGGGGGCAATGTAAATGTTAGGCATGTTGCAGCAGAGTACCTTTGTTCTCCTTGGAGTCTTTGCTTATTTAACTGTTTAGGAATGATGTATGAGATGCTCTGATTTGGAATGGGAAGGTATGTTCCATCGGGTCAAATTTGGCTCTGAGAAAAGAACTGAGTATCCTAACCAGGTCATAGATAACCTGGTGGCTGTGGAGGTGTTGTTTTCAGTTTTAGCCTCCTGTATCTATACATTTAAGTACCATAAATAAAATT